GACCCTTAAGCAAGGTCGAAATCTGGATCGTAGTATGCTTGACACACCCACACCCACACCCACACCCACACCCACACCCATTTAGCTTTTTTTTGATGATTATAAATTAAATTTGTTAAGATCCTTTCAATGACAGTTATTTGATATGGATCAAGTTTAGGTTTAAGTCAAGTAACAGGATTAAATATTTGGATTCAAGTTGGATTATGTGAAATAATTTGTACAGTTTATACAAGTATTATAAGACAATTTTTAATTAATAGATAACAATTATAGGAAAAAAATACTTAAAGGAGGAATGAAAGCAGTTATTTGGACTTATGTTATACAAGCATCGATTATATTTACTGATTCGATTATATCGATTATTATTAGTGTATATATATATACTCACTTTTTTTTAACAAAGATTATTTAAATATTTTTTATCAAATTAAAATAAAGGTATTGCTGATGCAAGTGGAATATCTAAAGTATATGAAACTATGAAAGCTAATAATTGATTGCAATTTTCTGCGTATGTCAATAAATTGGGAAAAAAGATTTTTAAAAAACTCATTTTATCTATTTTAGTGTTGATTCTGATCTATCAATTCGTCATACAATGTGAAGTATATTTATTAGTGTAATATTTTCAAGCACAGCTCAATATGCTTGTATTTGAACTCAAGCACAAAGATATATGTGTCAAAGATACAAAATTTGCACAAAAGTATTCATTGAAGGAAGAAATAAATAAAGAAATAAAATTTTATAATTTTCTAAAAAGAGTTGTATGAACAAATTATATTATGTTAGTATTTGGATGATCTTCATAGTTAATGATTAAATTTATTATTTGTTTAGTTAATAATTCAAATATTTGGTGTATTTGTTCCTTCCATTTTGAATATTTATTTTCTTGAATTATTTTCATCAGAGATAAAACTCAAGTAAAAATTAAACTGAGAGTTTAAAAAGAAACAAACTTTCTTAAATATGTTTAGAGTATATTTGTTGCTGCTTTTTCTTTTTTTAATCTTTCAATCTCTATGCTTTTTGGTTCCATATTTAATACAAAACCAGCAAATAAACAAGATGGATAATAACCAATTTCTATCGCTGGATGTTTAATATCAACAAATATAACTGTTAAAACAGTAACATCTGCAAACTAAAAAATATTTTAAGAGAAATAAATTGATAATTTTGTTTAGATCAAATTTATTAGTATCTTTGTTTTCGATATCACCACTTTGGTTTATATTTATTGGTACTATGACTACTATTTGTAGGACATATTTTAATACTAGTAACAGTTGTATTATTTCTGGTTTATCTGTTATATGTCAATGAATAAAATAATAGTATTTCATTGAAAAAAATAGGAGGTACACTTGCCTTTAATTTATATTGTTCTCTCGTTATGCTAATGCATTAAGTTCTCATCATGATAAAAGACAGGGAAAAGAAAAGCACTTATTATTATTTTTCTTCATTCAGTATATATTGAATTGAGTTTTAAATAATATTGTTGTAATACTCATAAGCGATATTTTTTCTTGTGACCTATTATTCAGCAAAATATTTTTCTTATTACATATAAATGCAGATTAAAATTTACTTTTATTTATTAAATATAGTAACATAAATCTGAATTTTATTTTCGATCGAATCATATAACTTTAACAAGAATTCTAGTTACTTCTTTAATTCTATCTTGACATGATTCATGTTAATCGTTGGTTGAAAGGATTGAATCATCAGTGGTTATTGTACCAAACGAGTGAATATTTTTGCAAAGTCTGTTAAAACGAATAGATTTTAATCGAATCTGGTCAATGCTGAGCATGTTGGCTCGTACTCAGAAAAAAATAAAGGAGTTTTGCAGAACCTTTTTAGGGGTT